CATCTGCAAAGCAATCACACGTATGCCCGTTGTGAGCGGGTTTGCCGGCGAAACTGACCCCTAGATCTAAATAAATTATAAAAAATACGCTATTGAAATATATTTTAACAGTATGTAATTGGTCACGACCGTGACGTCATTAGTTAGAGGATGCAATTTCACCGTAGTATCTTGTCGGAGCTTCGTTATCAAATAAATGAGGACTGTATGTAGACTGTATGTAAATGTGTGTAGATGTCCTGTGTGAGGTTGGCCAAGCGAAAGGAGTTATGTGATCGTTTCGAGTGGAAGTGCAGTAAGAAAAGGGTCACTCCATACGCGTGAGTGTTCTATGCGGAAGAGTCAACTGAGAGGTTTTTGTAGTTCCTAGTGGGCCTCTCCTAACTTTAAGATACGTGAAAGTCGCATATCGGTAAGTTTTATTAGTTTATTTCAGAGCGCTTTGCGTAATCTGAGGGAGGGCTTAAGGAGACCAACCCTACCCACCGCCGCAACCTTCTCCAAGGGCATCACGCGTTCTCTACTTTAACCCAAACAAAGATAATTCAATATTGTGTTCAATAACAAGGTATACACCACATACGGTAGCAGAAGGAAACCAGAAGCTGAACCACAAAACATGATATGTTTGCTTTTGTCGAATCTTTTGTATGTTCTGCATAATTTTTCTTTATATGGATGTCATAATTTAAATTTGCAAATGCTCTTGGCTGACCGGGTGACGCCGCGCCGAAGGCTGTGGTGCCGACGTTTCGACCATTTTGTCGTGGTCTTTCTTACGTTTGGTCTCAGGAATATATGGTCTGCCATATTTGTTTTCATATTTCACATGGGCCATATTAAATAGTGTTCCTTTACTAATATTACAAAAGGTTTTTGCCGTTTTGGTTGTTGGTAACTTGCGACTTATATCTGTACCCTACCAAACTACACTATGCCACAAAAGCAATCTTTTTCAGCATGTAGGTTCACGAGCAGCATTAGAACTTTTCTTGAACTTCCTATTAAATCCACGTCTAGAAAGTTGACGTTTACGCCAAAAAGATGTCTTGAAGTACAATACATATATATTTCCTTGGTGAACGTATAACCGAGCACACGCTGAAAGCAAGGGAGGCTGCTTACTTGTGGTTACCTTTCGGATTATGAATGGTGAGATGTGACATGCGAAATGTGAAATGCAAGTGTAACGAGGTTTAAAATTCTTGAAGTCCTGAATTTCCATGTTGCAAATATTGTATCTGTTTGAGCATTGACGAACCAACTGCTGCCAGTTCCAAGGCGTCACAATAGAAAGTGATTTCATTTTTTTTTTTTTTTCAATCATGACATGCACTGTGAGAGCCTCCACATGTGTGTGTCCCTTCAGTAAAAACTTCTGCGTTATGATTCCGATTTTGCGATAATTCGGCAGAATCCAAAAAAAGCACATGATCATGCACATGCTCTTATTTTGAACAATTTTGGAACATGTTCTTCTAAATCAGTTGCAATAGCAACTGTGTTAGAAATAAAAATGGTATTGAGAAACATGGTTTTGCTACTTGTACTATGCTCTTATTCACCTAAAATCGGTATATGAAAGAATCGGTTTTCGATTCAACACCCAGTCTACTCCTACATCGTAGATCTGGTTTTGTTTTTATACATGAACAAATAAATTGCCCCATATCGTTACTTTTTGTACAGCCCAAGATTTCCGTCCCCTCTATTTCCGTATTTTTTTTTTCATGGCAACGCATCGTACAGGAATATGGCGGGACGGTTTCATAACTCTGTCCTGTACAATCTTGCCTGTTCCGCTTACGTAAGCTTACTTTGCTGCGTAGCTTGCTTTGCACTTGTTTCGTAGCCACTGACTCATGTCTAACACGTTTCTTTCCTTGCTGACGAATTGATGTTTTGTTCGAAACTTTTCTTTTAATCTTCCTTGTCGGTTAAATTATTCACAGCCCTAATAAGATTATCACAAATGTCAATAGTGCGATTGTTCAGATGAAGGGATGAACCATTATGAGAATCTGTTCCAGAACTCTACTCAGGAGAAGGCACATAATTTTTGTCATCTTCAGAGTCATTTCACTGCTGCTACTACTTATTAGTAAATCAATGAATAAATCTACAGTTGGCGCGTGCTCCCCAACTTGTAGACTCTCAGAGGTGGAACACAAAGCTTGACTTGATATTGCAAGCGTACTCTCATGTAACAAAGCCAATTATCTTGCTTCCTACTGGTAAGTCGACTGGTTCCCGGGTACCATTCTTGTGATGAGCTTCAATTTCTTTATCCTTAGCTTGGTATTGGTCTACATCCTCAGCCTCCATAGCTTCATTGAAGTCGGTTGGTGGATCCTTCAGTAACATCACCCTCGGTTGTTGACGCTCGGTTGGACAGTTTCTATAACGTACCGGCTTCTTTAATACTCCTTTGTTACTCAGCACTCTCGTTTCACCAACAGTATTTGTTTCACTCACACTGACATTTGGGTGGGGCTGGTTGCACTATTCTGCGGCCCTATCATCTTCCTCATAACTGCACTCAAACTCATCAGTTGAAATATAGGCTTGTTCAGTACTGTTCGTCTTCACAGGTTGTTGCAGCACTTCGTCCTTGAACTTGACTTCACGGCACACTACAACAGAATGCTTCTCAGGAAAATATACCCTGTAACCACTGTCATCATACTTGACATACTCTCTTTCAAACTTTGTATGAAACTTTTTGCGTTTTTGTGAGTGAATCTACGCAAAACACATACTACCGAACATCTTAAGATGCGCGAACTGACTTTCCTATCTTATAACAGCTCAATAGGTGTTTTTCCTGCAACTTTGAATGGAGTAGTCCTGTTTAGTGTATGGGTTGCTGCAAGTACTGCGTCACCACATTGATTTTGGGATATGTACTGCTTATTGAAGCCAACAGCGTGCCGTCTCACGAAGTACTCAGTTTTCGCGTTCAGCAATCCCATCATGTTGTGGAGTATATGGGACAGTAAATGAATGCTTAAGGCCAATGCTCTCTGTAAATCTTCCGACTTAACGGTTGTCGAACTCCTTTCCCCTGTCAGTACTAATTCCTTAATGATAAGTTGTGTTTGTGCTTTTATAATTTCCATAAGCAACGGTAGCTTCTTTCCAACTTCACTCTTTTATCTTAAAAGATATGTCTCCCTGAAACTGGTAAAGTCATCATTGAAAGTAAGGAAGTACCTATGGCCAGCCCAATCCTTTTCTTCCATCTGGCCACATACATCGTCAAAAATAAGTTCTGCAGCTCTAGTAGACTTTGTACCCTTTCTCCAAAGGTCAACCTTTAATGTTTCCCTAAGACATAGCCTTCACAAAATTCACTGCCCACTTCTACTTGGATGCCATGAGCTTTAAGAAAAGTTTGTACCTGCCTTTATTTTGATGACTTGGTCTTTCGTATTATGCTTGCAAACTGTCTGGTGCATTATTAAGTACATATGCCCTTTTTTCTGAGACGACTTGTACCACCAGTCGATATGGATTGTCGCCATTATTTGAATCAGCAAGTGCAATCGGTCCTCTATTCGCCCACTACCGAATGCTTCAATCTGCAACCCACTTTTAGCACTGATCATTCCTTTAGATGTTCTGAATTCTTGATAAGAAACATACCAGTCACGACGTTTTGTAACAGGTCTAGCAGTAATGTCCATGTACCACTCATCACAGTTCAATTTATTTACATCCACATTTTCAACTTCAAAATGAGATCATTCTTCGATAAATATCCCTTTCCTTTACACTTACAACAAACTACACCTGTTTCTCGAAATGTGGCCACAATTATTACCAGAATAGCACCTCTTTCCATCACGTAAACCCCTTATGCCTGCGCCTTCCTCTTATGCAGGGAGATATTCTTTGATGCACCTAACCTCTAGTGATGCCACTGCGTTTGACATCGCAGTGGCCACCTTTACCTCATCGTTTCCAGCTACACGAAGTTCATAGTTCAGGCATCTCATCTGTAGTTTTGCCCAAGCCTTCTCTTCTTCCGCTAAATCATGCCATGTCACATAAAATATGAGCAAATTCTTTTGGGAGTGTTAGCAGGAGCCGAGCACATAGGTCACCTTCATCTATTTGCTTACGTAAACTCATTTTTGTTTGCATTTGGTCGAACTTCATAAGATGTCCCTGCACACCCCCAACTATTCCCATTCGATATTGTGGAATTCATTGCGCAACAAGTCTATATTTTTCGCCGTCTGTGTCTCATAAATCTGATGCAGCTTATCCCACACATCTCTGACAGTCTCACAAGTTGAAACACTAGGTAGTGGATTCGTATCGAGTGCCAAAATTAGTCGGTTCTTAGCTTTGCAGTTTTCATCCACGAACCAAATTGATATGAAAAATCTCTTACTCCTACTTCAGGTTTCTTTCTTTCTTTTTCTTTTCTTTCTCCACTGACAATATACTTCATCAAATTGTAGCACTACCTTCATAAGTATGCGCCATGTGACTGTTTTCTTACACACTTAACTTCTCAATTATTGCGTCTCTTCACTCATATCTTGAAATTCTTGAACAGATTATTTCTTGAAATAAAGGAGCATTAGTACTCTTTCGCGTTTGGTCTGTCTCGTTCACGCGAGTGAACACGTCCTTGCGACCGTTACAATGGTATTTCGGTTATGTTTTCTAGTCAAGATCACACTCTATCTTTCTGTCAATAAATATTCAACAAACCACACCCTGCCACCGTGTTAAAGTTCAGTATACACATCTATGTATTTTTTAACTAGAATCGCTATCACACTACGTCTCCGCCTTACCACGTCTATACGTCTCATCACCGGTCACACTAGAACTGCAATAGGCTATATCTTCTTCACTTTGAACACGTCAATGAAATCTTGAAAGATTTTTATTTCTTTTGCAGTCACTTTCAGTTTCGAAGAATGAAGAAAGCATCTGTAACTGAGTTCTTAAGAGAGATCACAGAAGTTCGGATTAGCGATACTCTGCTGTATGGAAAAAAATAACAACATTCAAAATGTTTTTGTGACAGTGAAATGTTTATTGACAAGCTTTGAGGAAACATTATGATACATAAACAATGTAATTTAGCTGCGTCATTATTTAAATACAGTTGATAATCAGAACAACAATCAGGTGGCAAGAGTAAATTTCTTATTCTCTATTTCTGAAGAATCCATCAATGTATGATTTTTTATTGTGGATAAAAAAATATTCAAATTTAGACTAGAGCTAAATCTGTTAAACGGCTTGTGGTTCACGAGGCATTTATGGTTCTATTCTATTTATATTTATGCCACAGAAAAAAAACTGTGAATGAGTAAAAATATTATTGTTAGGTACTTTAATATCATTTATAATACTAATCTTCAAAATACATATTAATAAATACATTTAAATTGGCGAGGAACTTGGGGGCACATAGTTTGGATCATTAATCTGACAAAGTTCATCCCAATTTAGTGTGATTGTCTCCATTGTTAATTCTTCAAATTTTGGAAATGGACAGTAATGACCACATCCAGGAATTTCTAAAGCATATGGATCCTCTTCAGTAGAATTTCGTAGGAAAACCTAGAACAAGAAAAAAGGAATACATTTCCGATATTGGGATAAAATTGTGAGAAACGCCATCCAAGGCTTGAATATGTCTCATTCAATTCGTTTTAGTTCAAGATCAAGGGGTAATTAATCATTTAATGAAGAGGTTACTTCCATGATTGACTAATCTATTGGTTACGTGCGAGCATCATGCTCTTCAGCACATTGTTTGCTTCTCTACCGCTTGTTGTTGCAGTGTTTTTGATTATTCAATGCGTATATGCTCCGAGATACAAGCGGAATAATGGTTAAAACAGCGTTGTCGCACGAAGTAAGGCGTGTTCGCGTTTGTGACAGGTTTAGCAAGAAACTATTATTTTCTAACTCAGGGATTCTAACTGCACCATTTCATGTGAGATTATTACAAAATATGATATTTCCAGAGTGCGAAAAGTAATTCCAGCCGGCATTGTTATCAGAATTCCTTTACCACATTCCACGGAAGTTAAGCAACTCGAGGCATCACGGATTCAAGGATAAGTGTCCGTGTGAAAATCCCGGTCATTAATGGCACCGAGCCCCTTAATATGTCTCGCTCATAGAGGATGATGATGCTGATGCTGATAATAATAACAATAATAATAATAAGAAGAAGAACAAGAAGAAAAAGAAGAAGAAGAAGAAGAACAACTACAGCAATGACTTATAACGTTTTGTATGCACTCTACGCCCCCACCCTCTCCAGGTACCGGAATGAACATTGTAGACGCAGTATTATATTCCCTGATGTCATTGTAGACTATGTTAAAAACGCAATGTGAAGAAAGGAAAAAGTGAACATGGTTGTGACCTCTGCTTTTACCTGTTGTAATGAACAGAATGTGTGAAAAAATATTAGTTAAGAGGTAATTACCTTTATTCCATAGTTTCCGTTTTCTTTCTCTTGGTGCAACTCTACCAATGTCAGAATACCATATCCGGGAACTTGTGTATCCCACACACCAAGTGACATCAGTAAATTTACAATTGTTGAATCATGGCCGGCGTACATGAAAAACTTACGTTCCAATGTTCCATTTATTTTCTGTTTTGCATCCTCTACTATTTTTTTCAACAAGGGTCCTGGAAATTAATATATTAAATTTAGATCGTAGAAAATTTAACATTATTCACGTTTTGTCTCACGCTTCTTTCTGATGAAAATAAATAAAATCTACCATATAATCAATATTGAATATTAAATTATCTTGAAATTATTTTATTTAACTTAATACCTTCAAATAAATTTAAAATATTAATGTAAGAAAATAAATAATTATTTTCTTGTCTGTGACGTAAAACAAGAGTCTCCCGAAACATAGAATCTACACTATGAAGTGTCGGTTTAATACTATACATGTAATTCAAAACTCACATTCAACACTTTTCAAAGAAAGCTGTTGGCAACAATTCTGTGAATGACACTTGTGTGAAATATGTATGAATAATTAACAAGAAGTTCATGTTATGTTTTCTATTGTGGACATTATTTAACAAAATTGATTATTTTACTTCCCCGCAAAGTGTTGATTAAAATGGGATAATAACAAAATGGGAGCTAAATAGTAACTAATTTTAAATACAATTACCACGCATCATAAAATCCAATAAAGGAAGATTTGAAATTTCAAATGACAAGTACATTGAGTTTTTCTTGTTGGGAGAAATTTGAATTCTACTTTCGCATTTTCTAATTTTTTTAACATAAAAAGTTATACACTCACTATTTAGGTGTCGTTAAATAAGAATCGGGGTGTCTCAAAAAAAAAATTACAAACTTTTAGGGCGTGTAGGGATACAAATTATAACATTTTGCCAATGGACATGGGTTGGTAATAACTAAGCTACATATGTGATTGGTTGATTAGTTATTGTGTCCGAGTCAAACGCTAAGGTCATTAGTCCTGTAAGTGTAGTGCGTGTGTTTTCTTCGAGAGGTGCCGGTGAACTTCCCCCGGTGAATAGTGAGATCGGACGACCTACCATTGGCTAACGGCAGGCCCCAATCAGGTGTCTCCCATCAGAGGGGCACCGCCCCAGCCGGGACTAGCTCTGAGCTCATGACTGGTCTCCCGGCATGTATAATGGTGTAGTGCGTGTAAATGTAAGAAAGGGGCGAGGCAAGGAAGAGGAAGGAACTATCGCGCGCGGTACATGGCCCGTTTGTTGGGGTATTTTTGTGTACTGTTCCGGCACTCGCCTGGTATTGATCGGAGAAACCACGGAAAACTACCGATCACTACAAATCACCTCCAGACAACGACTGAATTCGACCTAGCTACGTAGCTAATGTCGAAAAACCTGCTACGGTCTGGACTCTAACTCCAGGACTTTCCTGTCACAGGCACTGCAGGGGCATCAGTTGATGCCTTGAGCTACCTCTCCCGGTTACATACATTCGTATGTGGCATTTGTCCTTAATTAGTAGGCAATGAGTCTTGCACTAATGTGTGGCAGGGGCAGAAATCCCAGGCTACACGTGGGGGTCTGGAACGCGTCCCGTACCACATACGAACTGAAAACATGCATGCGTTACACGAAATTCGAACTCACAACCCTGGTCTCCAAATACTTGGGTTCACTTTTCCAAAGCTTGGCGCCACCGGGCCGGCCTTTTATTTATTGGTGATATGCAACGAATTTAACGAAACTTACCGCCTTTAATTTTTTGTAGTTCTTTTGTGTACGCGTTGTACTCAAAACTCAAAGCTGTAATTGTTTCCAGTTTCTCAGGGTAGTATTCAAGTGACCATTCAGGCAGTGTAAGACCAAACTGTTGCTGAAACAAGAGGGCGGTGCAATTAGTAAAATATTGTACATTAATATATAGTAATATTTCAAAAAGACTTCTTGTGGAAGGAGACGTTTTTATAAATGGTGGGGTTTTGGATATGTGCAATGAACATACAATCGGAAGGTAAACCTTCCTGTTAGCATTAGAGAAGATGGTGACAGACTTTTATCGTCGGAACCAAACATGATTATTGAGAGTAATTTAGCATATTTGAAAAATTATGAAAAATTAAAACTTATGAATGTAGCATTCCTTTAAAAACTGGATGAAATTGTTACTTTGTATTGAAAATACAAGCGGTAAGATGTCATGGGCAAGTAAACAAATATTTTATTACTCGTTAGGTAAACGTATTAAAAACTTACCTCCGCCGTTAAAGTACTGTAGAGCGATTGCACGTCGTCGGGATTAGCAATTTGGAGGCCTGTGATATTGGTCAAAACTTCGTAAAGGATAGTGGCATTTAGGGCCTCAAGTTGTGACTTAACTTCGTCGCTTGCTAACACCGCATCTCGTTTCTCGTAGTAGCCTGGACATGGCGAGTAGCCCAGGAGAAGCTGCAGAAGAAATTAAACGTATTTACACATTTTTTTTATTTTTATGTTTCACCGATTTATTATTCTTTATAGTTTAGATCTTGTTTGACCTTGAGGATTATTCTTATAGCACTGATAAATTTTCAAGTCATCATTGGATTTATTAAATTTGAGCGTAATTTAAACCATCGCCAAATTTGTCAACTACAGTTATCACTGAAGACACTCATACACAAGCATACCGATATGCATGCCCACGACATTTCTAGCCGAGGTAGCTTGGGCACCCTTCTCGCCGAATCGGCATTGATTTATTATTATTATTACTATTACTTTAGATTTATTTAGTCAAAAAACTGTATGTGACGTATGGGGAAGATTACCTGCGCACATTTTCTTGAGTTCCAGAATCCCTTCCCGTCATTTTAACTATAAATAGTTGAAAGATGAGTACAATTTTAACATAAATAAAAATAAATTTTAAAAATAGCAATTAGCAGTATTTGAAAAAATAGACTTTTTCGTTTCCGATTTATAGAAAACTTATTTGCATCAGTAAACGAATTGCAAGTATGATTTTTCTGCATTGCTAACAAAATAGTAACTCGCCCTTCTACTCCTACAAGCAAAAGGAGAGTTCAACAAAACGTGCGCATAGTCAAGCTACATTTACGTCCATAAGCAAAACAAGAGGCCATCTCAGCATTTGCTCAATGGACCAGGGAAACTGGACAAAAATCTGATCGAGAAGGGTCATTGGAAGCTGAAGTACATTATTTGTTAGAAACATATTAAATCTTTTTTTTTAAATTATACAATACAAATGTAAACTAATTCATTATATATATCACTGTTTTGTTAAAATAAACATTATTTCTGTTTTTGATAATCTGTATAGACTCTAATTGTATGGAAGCAGTTATGCAGCAGAAAAGATTTGACTTTTATCTTTAATTTGTGAACCAATTATTATTATTATTATTATTATTATTATTATTATTATTATTATTATTATTATTATTATTATTATTATTATTATCATTATCATTATCATTATCATCATTATCATTATTATTATTATTATTAATGCCGGGCTCTGGTAACGAAATAGTGGATCAATCCTGTACTAAGTTTAGAAAAAAAATCTGACACGTAATGTAGCCCAAATCCATGTTTGTTGGTTTTTGATACCGAAAAATCGATTGATGACCAAACGTCCGTCTGTTCGTCTGTGGTCAACGTTAGCGCCTAAACCGTTTAGCCGACTTTCTTCAAAATTGATATTCCCTGATCGATCTGAACGAACTGGAGGCTTTGGAAGTTTCCAATGCGTATTTTGATTTTGGGGGTACTTTACACAGTCTTGACAAATTTCAAAACTTTCTCAAATAGGCTCTAATTTTTTAGTAAACTTCTTTCTGATATAGGAAAGTTCGCTTTAAAACTGGCGTACGTCTAATTTTCGCTGTACTCTGAATTTTCAAAATTTGCCAAAGTGGATGTTTTAACAGATATTTTGATTGTTGAACCCTTTTTTTACATGAATCGGGTATTTAGCTTTTTACGCCTTTGCCCCAGTTGGACCCATAATGCGCTTGTGTGGCATAGTGTATGAGTTCCTGGCACGTTAACTCTGAGGGTCTGAGTTTGAGTCTCGGAGCGACAAAATATTTCGTGCTTGAAAACTTTTGTTGTAGTATAATATTGCGGAGCATTTAGAAACAATGCGAGAAAGTATATGTTTTGATAGCACCACTAGTTCTTCTTTTTATTATTATTGTTATTGTTATTATTATTGTTATTATCATTATTGTTATTATTATTATTATTATTATTATTATTATTATTATTATTATTGTATGTCTTTTATTATCGCAATTGGAGACAACATGGGGCTTGTCCCACCCCAAAGTCAGGGCAGTCGGGTGGCCAACTCACGTGATCTTCCGGGACGGGTACGCTGTGCACGGGAATGGGCTGCCAGTTGAGCGACGGGTTCCAGCGCTGGTCGCCCTGGGGCGGCCAGAGCCCGGCCAGCTCCAGCAGCGCCGACATCTTGGTGCGGTCCTTGTCGGTGGAGCGCGCCTCGATGACGCGTGGGGAGTACAAGGGCCCCAGCAGGGCGTCGTAGCGCTCCCGCAGGAACTTGCCCTGCTGGTACTGCATCATCTTGCCTTTCTGGAACACGGGGGAAGGGAGATATTTAAAAAAGCGCGACCAAGGAATATGGGTTATTATTAGGGGGTTAAATATCGCCAAAAATAATCAATGAAATGCTCTTTAAATGTTATAAAAATGCCCTAAAAGCAAAGAAAAATGGCGTAAAAAATGTGATCAAAACCAGTTCGGATGAACACCTCAAGCTGTTGGATATCCAACAACTATCAAATAACATATGTTACTGATGTAATCGGGGCTTGCTCCTTTCATTCATGTGACCTCGGATTGCACTTTTCGTTTAAATTGTTCTTTACCGGAGAATCTCTTGTCTTTATCGCGTAATCGGCAGAACCGACAATGGCGTTGACAAGCGACACTGGAACCTTATGTAACATACAAGGCTGACATTTCAATTTCTGAGCGAAGAAATCAAATAGGCTACTCTGGAATTCTGTGGAGTACATTTGTTGTACATCGTAAAGATTATTTGAAGTAATTATCATTAAAATAATATTGAAATAAATAAAATTAGTGAAAAATGCATTTAAAGTGACAAAAAGGGTAAAAAATGACTTAGTCGAAATCGACAAAAAATGCAATAAAATAATATATAAAAATGGGTCAATTCCTTTTGTTGTAGCATAAATTTAATGTCTATTCTAAAGAAAATTGTTGTAAAGTGAAAAGAAAACAATGAATTTTAATTAACTCCACCTCCTAGTGTACCAACAGCGTATAAGGGACTCTGACAGTTCAACGCGCTGTTGCAACACATTTACTATGCTCATGGCACCGCATGACTGATAAATGAAATCTCAAAACATTAACTCCTTACTGACAGGCTATCGCACGTCTTTATATCATGTTCCTAACTTTCGTCAAAGCCGAATCTTATCGTCTCAGTGACTTCGTGCGAGTCAGATGAATGGCAACCCTTAACCTTGATTGTGAGAAAGTACTCAAATCCTCTGAGCCTTGCTTCAGAGCAGATCAAATCACTTACCACATCACGTGGCAAGAGAGCTGTCAGAGTAGCTTATACGCTGCCGGAACTGTAGTAGTTATATTTTAAGTTGGCTATTAGCCCACCCATAGATTAGAGGGAAGACGTCTGACTCGAAGAGACAACAGAATACTACGCGCATTGCTGAATGCATAATGTCTCAGAATAAAGGTTACAAACTTCTAGGATATGAAGCGGATCAAAGAAGCTCATTTTTTTTTCTAGGACCATGTGCTGGGAAGTTTAATATAACCAAATTACGCATGTGACATTTGCCCCCCTGATCGGTAGGCAACACATTATGCACTGATGTTTCGCGGATCACATTCAGACAATGTAGCAGAGATTTCAGGTACCCGTCAAACACCAGTGCATGATGGATTTTCTAACAATTGTGGGGAAAATGTCACATGTGTTGTTTCATGAAATTTTTTCCTTCGCATGTTCATGTTCTACATGCTCCGTGTTCTAAACGTTTTTTAAATATTTGTTTTAGGTCGTTTTTACGCCTCTTGATGATTAGCGTCCACAGATATATCAACAAAAAAATAGATCATACGTAACATTATCTAAACAAGAATAATTTATAACATCATAACAAACATTTGATTAAGACAGATCATCAATATTAAACTTATTTTGCCCTTACATCAATAAAAGTTTAAGCCATACATAACAGACTACAAGGTAGACAAATATTGTAACAATTACAAAAAAATGAATTTCACATATGAACACTATTATACAATATCCTTAAATCACCAAAAGTTTGAATCATACTTGACGTACTTTCACATTGACAAAGATTGGTTTTATATATTGACAAACTTTTGGTTTAAACACATTAACAATATTATTATATTACAACATTACACCACTATTAAACTATTTTACCCGTATATCAAGGGAAGAGTCATATAAGCATTTCAATAGATAATTTTAAGCAAATTTCTAAACGTTTGTAACATTTAATGTGGAACATTCTGAATAATTGCGCGAACGCAAAACAAGCATTGAAGCCGGTAGTGCCTTCAATTCCAGTACTGACGGTACCCCTTGGAATACTATCCCTTGGAAAAGCGAATAGAAAAAAGTGTTGAGGGAGAACAGTTGTTTCTCCTTAAGATTAGTCTGCCAACTGCGATCAAAAACGTAGTAAAAAGTAATTATTGTAATGCTGCCGCAATAAAAGGTGATCAATCGACAGAAAAATTCGCACAAATTTAGGGGGTCTCTGATATAAAAAAATGGATAAACGTTTTTCCTATTAGTAGTAAATACCTTCCTCTACAACGTTGTGTCGTCAGAATCAACATTTTGTGGATCCTCCTTACAAAGTGGTTGTTAGGAATGTACGTCTGTCCGTCTTAGCGTCCACTAAACCGTTCAGACGATTTTCTCTAAAATTTATATTCTCCGGCCGATCTGACCGAACACCCGAACTCGTGACCCTGCGACTACGAAATGGTTATTTTGAATTGGGGGGAGGGCGCTTCTTTATACAGTAACCAGTAACATTTGCAAAATATTCTCAAAAATGGCTCCACGTTTGTTTTTCTTCGGGAACGCAAAAGACGCTTTAATAATGCTGATATCATTTTCGTTGATCGGAATTTTCGAAAATTGTAAAGGATAAAAGTTGTTGAGCATCTTCAAAACTATAATATTGAAGATACAATTTTTTCTTTGATAAAATCTGTTTTTCAAAGACAAAACTTTAAATAGTCATGTACATTTTTCGAAAATATGACTAGTTTCGCAACATTTTGCATGAATTATAGTGAATTCTTTGTATTTTCGTAAATTACAAAAAAATAACATCGCAAAACTACGATATCGATTATACAGGTTTTTAATTAATGAAATTTGTTTTTATCTGTTTCTTAAAAAAGGTCATGTACATTTTTTAAATTCTGAGTGCTTTTTACGTAATTTTTGCTTAAAATGGAGAAACTTTAAAAATTAATATTTTATAAAGAATGACATAGAAGTTTCTTCTTAATTTTATCCCGAATAGAGGAAAGTACGTTTATGAATGTGACGCAGGTCCCATATTCGTTCAACTCTGAATTTTTGAAAATTGCGAATGCTACAAATAATGCAAGCAAGAATATGTTGTTGTTGCACCACTACTTGTCGCTAGCTGCATTAACTTATGGGAGGACTCTCCTTAGGAATTAATATCACGATTTGTCATTGACTGAATGAACGTAATCGCTTTAAAGCAATTCGTGTATCATCAAAGATACAAAGAGCTGGCCTGGATAGCCGAGGTCGCTAAGGCTGAAAAGCCGAAGCTGCCTCATGCGTGAAAGATCGCGAGTTTGAATCTTGTCCGGGGAATGGATGTTTGTATGTGTTAGTATACCGTTACCGTTATCCCTAATGTTACTTACAGTGGTAGCCATATGACGTTAGTAGTTGCAAAGCAACCTTAAATAAATAGAAAAGGTACAAAGCATTTATCTTATGCCGATACCTGTGATTTCTACAAAAAAGATCTTTGAATCCTATGAAATATAAATAAATCTTATATCTGTAAGTAGGTGCAACGTGTACTGTAACAGTGCATCTACGAAAAAATCAATCAAGGAACACTTTGTTTACTATATAGAAATGAACCCGATGATGAACGGTTTATGTGGATGAGTCGAATCCCCTTGTAGGAACTTACGTTCTCATTTTGAATAGATTTATATATTTAAAATAGAATAAATGTATGTGATGTGGCCTTTGTATCCAAAATATACAGGTGAATTTTTTAGGGTAAAAACATGTTTTTTTTGGAAATAAATTATTTGTCAATATATAATTCCTTTGGTGTTTCGGGCTTAGAGGTACAAATACCTGAAGCAAACGATTTTTTTACTTAATTTCGTCCCAGCCTGTTTGCATCGGAACGTTGTGCGCTTTTCCGAGCCCTGAAGCGCTGCTGTGACTCGGAAGGTCATTTGCATAATCGGAGGCAGAGCTTTAGTTGTTGAATTTTGATCGCTGCATGCAGCTTGACCCAGCTGCGACGCGCTCCGATACATGTAAACAATCGCGCAGCCGAGAAACGTAATAATATACACACCTGAAAAATGGACATCGTCCTTAGCCACTAGAAGGTTCCGTGACAGGCATTTGCATAAATGGAGGCGAAGACGCAATAATACTATTGTTTGTTTCTAAAACTATTTCTAATACGTCGCAACTCCGATTGACCACCGTTTCGGTCGTCGGTCTCTCTGATTGTACCGTCACACATTGAACTGACAGGGCGACTTCGCTCGCGTGTTTTGACAGTTAATCGGAACAACAGTGACGTACGGTACAGAATTCCACTGATAGTGCTATTTAGTGATGCGACATCAATGTTATCCATTATCGATGTTCAAATATGAAGATTTTTTGCACGGAATAGCGTGCAGTAATAGACTTCAATATCCACCTTCTGGGCATGAGCCGATGCTCAAAAGTGATATGAAACTCACACTGAGCATGCGCAGAAGATTGATATATGTCATTTGCTATAACGCTTCGCCGTGCAAGATGTCTCTATTAACACATCAATCAAAAACCATCGATCTGTAAAATAAAATTAATAGGCAACAACATTTAATTTTACAGTGACAGTGTTAATTAAGTTGTAATGACGTTTTAACTGAAAACAACTTAAAAATAAAAAAAAAAACAAATACAAATACTCAGCCTGAATGCTTTAGCACCCACAGTAATCACAAGAAGTCTTAGCTTCCTAAGTTCGCTCTAGAAGGACACGGGAAGAAGATGGGAAGCCTTACACCCACTGCGTACGCCGCCACTCCATGTTCGAAATACAAGGAAAGACGAGAAATACCAGGGAATTAGGGTTACCCTGAGCGAGAGATAGTCTCCTCGATGAAGATAGTGCCATTAGAGCACTCTATGGAGCACAACGTAAATTAATGCACCAGTTCGATTTTGTCACCGTCTCATCCATAAGAGACGCATACAAACAACACAACACTTTTTATACAGCGTTAAATGCGCA